GGAGTCATAATCGATCATCTAAGCAATTGAGGAATCATTTTTCTTTTTTCATTTTTTTCCCCTATTTACAATATTCTGTTTCTTTTGATACTAGGAGAGAGAAGTTAAAATTCAAAACTATTAACCACAACATAATTCTTATTCCTAATAAATTTGGTGTAGACTATATGAAATTTTTGTCACCATTATATTCATTACTGAAGCTCATGGAAGGCAGAATTGAATCAAATTTAGCAATCATATTAGACTATTTCGGTTTATGTTATGGAATCACTGCATTCTTGTGAACAAACCTTCTATAAGTCTACTTAAGATACAATGAACGACCTGTTTGATATAAATTTATTTAAGAATTTATTTTGTGTAAAGGTTTTATGGAGAATGTGTAGTTAAAAATTATGAAAAAGCTATGGGTCCACCTTCAAAATTTTTTTATTTGGAGAATATGTGGTTGAAAATGAGTATAGAAAAATGAGTTTAAAGAATTTGTACCAAACAGGGGGCTCAATCATCTATGTTTTCAATTTTTCTTAAGTTATTCTCAGTTGGTGTAATCTCCTTTGTTGTGATGTATATGAACTTATTATATACTAACTTGTTCTATGTAATTTTACTTCAAACATGTTTTTCGATGATTAGAATTTTCAGTTTTACAAGTTAAGAAAGCCTATTGGAGGCATTAATCTATTTCTGTGCTATTTCCATAATTTGGGAATGGATTTTGAAACTCTAGTTGAATTGGACTAAATCTGGCTTTGATTATGATAATTAAATGGATTATAATGATTCTTCCTCGGATGTTACAATATGTGCACAATCTTGGGTGGTTAATCTTTATCTCATCATAATTGCTTTATCTTCCAAACTATATAACTTTGGTTCTGACGATTGTCTTTCTTCTTATTGAACAGAGATATAAAAGGGCTCTGGCTCCATGTAGATCATAAAAGATGAATCTAATACTGTTATTATCGTAAGATATTTACGTTTGAACGGTCCAAGTTTCCTCAAGAAACCAACCGTCGAATGGGAAATATGTCTAAAGAGAAGATTGAAGATCCAAAGAATACGGAGAATGTTTCTGTTGATGTAATTGAATATGCACATGCCAAGGAAAAAGAAGTTGTTGCAAAATTGGATCCAGATGCAACTGAATATTCAAGCTCATTCGCCGACACCACTTCTGGAAATGGGAATAGTTCTGAATTGAGTGATGCTGAAGTTGAATCACAGTTTTTTGGCGACAATGATGTGATGCCTCCATTTGATGCATTTAACGGTATATTTCCAATGAGGTGCGGATTTGTCCCTCTTATATATAATTTCTTCTAGTTTAAATATTTTCATGAGAACTTTTTTGTATTTTGCGTTATTTTAAGTAGTTAGATTTCAGTAATTCATAAACCAAAACTTTCTAATTATTGAAAGACAATGATACATCAGAAAAGATCTCCACATGGTTGGAGCTTAGCTGGATGGATTCCTCCATTTCACTCCGTTTATTTCTTTTGAACCTTTGATTTTGTCCATTGTCTAGTATAGTGATATCAACTTGTCTTCATTTAGCGTATATTGGGTATAAATGCTGGAATACATGGAGTCTCTCTATTTTAAATGTATGACTAAAAATAAAGCAAATTAATTCGCTAACATCTGGTTTTACCGTACTCGAGTAATAATAACGAATAAATTGTCTCAGCTGATTTTCATTTACTTCTTTCAGGAAGAAAAAGTTGACTGCTCACTGGAGAAACTTCATACATCCTCTGATGTGGAGGTGCAAATGGACAGAATTAAAAATAAAGGAATTAGAGTTGCAGGCGTCAAAGTATGACAGGTGTATTGCAGCACATGAACGAAGAAAACGTATGTCAATAGATCAACTGACAGTTGAACAATCTGGCTCAAGGTCTTTACCATTTAAATCCCAATATCGTAGGAAAAGGGCAATGAAGAGAAGAAAACGGAAGAGATTGGAAGATACAACTGATATTGGATCATACATGTCAAAACACATTCTTTTTTCTGGTCATGGTATGACTTCTTTCTTTATACCTCTGGACAGTGTTGAGAAGGATAACAAAAAATATTTTTATATTTATTTATTTCATAATTCTATCTTGTACTGTCCAATATGACATAACAACATTCTGTCTTTATATTTCTGTCATCATTGTTGTAGAGAAATTACCCATTTGACGTGACATATTGCAGAAAATAAGTGGTCTGATGTTGATGGAACTCCGATATGTGATGACTTTGGTATGCCAGGTACAACTAAATCCTAAATAGCTTAATAACCTCTTTTCCTTTTTTCATTTTTCCTTTGGTTGTCTATATTACCTATATGTTTGTGAAGCTTTTGTCCTCTACTTTCATGAAGTATTCCTTGTAAGTGGTGAGAATGCATAATCTCAATAGGCTGCCCTTCAGCTTCTAATCAATTTGTATGGCCTTTCTTAAGCCTCCGGTTGTGTTAATCTCATTAAGGGACTAAGGCCTAGAATTTTGATGTAAAATTGTTGTACACAGTGAATTATCT